CGGCCAAGGTTAAATGTGTTTCTACTTTCCTCTTCGTCTCACTCATGTGGAGCACGAGACAGACAGTATGTGGGCACGAGACAGACAGTATGTGGGCATGAGACAGAACAGTGTTGGGGCATGAGACACCGCAGTGTTCTCTGTTCACAGGTCAAAAGAGACGGGTGATCAGCGGCGGCCAACTCGATGTTTACATCGTGCTCTCTCGCTGTCGCTCACAGCACAGCCCAAGCCTGGCCTTGGCTCACCGACATCTCAGTATCTCAGGCATTGACCTGATTTGCAAACACATAGCCTAGAGCCTGCACTGTATCTCACAGCGGAAGTGGGGGGGGGAGATGTTTGTTTAATGATTAAGGAGAGTTTTTACGGCGCTCGCAACTGCATAAGGTCATAATATGAGCGCCAAGGGGTGAATGTCAACTGAGAAGTCCATACAGGGAATCAGGCTTACTCTCCTCACCTCTCTAGCTTCGTCAACACAAAGTCTGCTTTGACTATCAAGGCACCCCGGAAATAACGGGTCACAAGTGTGTGACAAACATACAAAAGAAGTAGAGGGAAAATAACGACAATAAGGACTAGGAAAGAAAAAGCAGCAGTTCCCCGTTGCAGTCCAGGCACAGTTATGAGCATGGCATTGACGAATCAGCCCATTTACAATTCTATTGTGTTCAAGAACATGTTATTTTGTTAATGTCTTCCCTTTGGGAACGGCCTAAAGACACTTCAGTCAGTAGCACCGCCCCGAGGGGGCTTTGGAGGGGGAGAGAGAGAGAGGAGGGGGGGGGTGTGCGAGAGAGAGGGGAGCGTGTGCACACACACATGCTCACGTACACACACACTTGCTCGCGTACACACACTCGCATACATGTACACAAAACAGACATACACATATAACACACACTCACACACACAAACACAAGAACACACACACATAGGCCTACAACAAATACACACACACATGCGCGCGCACGCACTCACGCGCACACACAAACACAACACCACACACACACACATACACAAAACACAAACACACATACACTACATACTACATACACACTTCCCTTGCCAAGCTGTGCAAGGAAAGTCCATTGATTCGTACAAACCTAACGACGAGCCACTTCTAAATGCATCATGTGTAATGGTATGCAGGCCTTGACCTCCTGTCGAGATTAAATCGATGCAATGAGCTGAAATTTTTGTTATCCTCAAAGCTGTAGGGGCTCACAGGCTGACATTTTAGCGATGTTTTTATTCTGTAACCCACCCCCCTCCCCCAAATTGTCTGTCTGCTGGGACGTTTTATTATTTTAGTGGTGTTTTTACTTTGTCTATCGTCCTTATCTCCCCTCCTTCTTTTTTATATTTGTTACTCTCTTGTAACACCTCTTCTGGCGCTCATATGACCTTATGCAGTTGCGAGCGCCGTAAAACCTCTACTAAAACAAATATGTTATTACATGAGACACGTTAAAGTGGTCATATCTGTTGGGGTTTTTTTTAAATATATAGTTGATTTGGTATACGTGTTTTACAGCACTTACAACACAATTAGGTCATATAAGTGCCAAAGATTAGAAGTCTTACAAGAGAGGAACGAACACAAGAGAAAATAAGAGATGAGGACGACAGCAAATGCTTAATAGGAAAGTAGGAGCAAACCAAACGACTCCCAGAGCACCCCCC